AAACAGAAACTGAATTAAAACCATATGACTATATAGTTAAGTCTGGAATTGCTACTAAGGTTTATGTTCCATTGAGTTATGAAGATGAAAAAAATACATTACAAACATTCTCCATACAAAGAATAGAAACAACAGACGAACCAATCACATTCAAAATTAATGCTATGACTCTTGAAGCTGAAGGTGTTCCAACACCTAACAATGAAGTTTATAGTGAATCTGATGAACAAAGTAAAAGTGAAGAAACATCAATAGATGGAACTAATGCACTTGCCATTGTTGGGTTGTTAGCAATCATCATGTTGATTGCATTTTAATTGAAGAATCATTTTGATTTTATTCTCTTATTTTTCTTATTCAAAATAAATCAATGCTCATTAAACAGTTAATAAGAACTTAATCTAAAAGATAATGGAGTGATACAGTTAAATCAATTTACTCTTTCACACTATTTTAAATTATAAAGGTAACGAATTAAAATAACATTATAATATGATTATGTTTTGATAAATAAGTGTAAAGTTACTTATAATAAATTAAATGATTTGTACAACCAATTTTTAATACCATAAAAAAATAACGTTATAATAGTGACATAATATTTGATAGAAGAGTGTATTAAATTGAAATAATTATCTAATTCTAACTGAATAATAAATTATCAAGACCAATCCCCTATCATAATACTAATATGATACTTATTAAAAACTAACGAATATATTTAAATATTAATATTCATACGGAAAACACTCTCCTCTGTTGACGTATTATTGTACTGACTGGTTAATAAATGTTGAGTTATAATATAATGAATGTACCCTTTATTATTATATCTTAACCAATTTTAAAAAAAATAAATTTTCAATAGCTTTATTTAATTGTCAGTTGAGTAGATTGAAGTAGTTGGAGAACCTTGTACGTGGAGTCCTAGAGGTGAGTACCTAGGACTTTGAACAAAAGGGTGATTAGTGTTTTGTTTATCCATTTCTTTAATTAAGTTACTGCATTGAAGTTTTGTTGAATCATGAGCTCCTTGTAAAGCATTGATTTGTTGTTGTAACTGATTGATTTGGAGTTGGAGTTGTTGGTTTTGTTGTTTTAAGTATTCTATCTGAGACAATTGAGAAGAAGATTGTTTTTCAATAAAAGATATTATTGTCTGACTATTTGCTGCTGACGTTTCCATGAGACTTTGAAGTACTTTAGAAAAAAGTATATTGGTTTGATTTAATGATGCAACATAGTCGTTAATTGACTTCTTCTTGTTTTCCTCTTGAGCACTAAGTTGGTAGATAACTTCATTGTATGGTTCCATTTGAAGACAAATATGAATTGGTTAAAAAAAAATAATAAAAAAACATCATTCCTTTTTTCATCTATAAATTTTTTTTTATTTATTTTGAAATAAAAAACAAAAAATTTTTTCACAAATTTATAATAATTAAATCATTCAACAGACTCAATGGACTTCATCATTGATAATAATGGCCCTTCAGGATTTACTCTTTTTAAATAATAACATGCCCTTTCAATTGGTATTGAAACAAAGTTATTATGGTGATGACAAATAACTAATCCTGTTTTTCCTGCCATAGCAACATGAACTGCTGCATTAGCTAAACATAAACAGAAATGTGCATCAGCAGCACTACAAGGCGCAGAACGAATCATATAAGATGGATCAACAAATTTAATGGTATGTTCTATTTTTTTATTCTCTAAATATTTGTCTATTTCTTGTCTAATATACGTAACAGCATCCCAATGAACAATATTTCCTGACTTATCACTACCAAGATCAAGATCTTTTGGTTTAAGGTTTTGACATGCTCCTTCAGCAATAACAATTACTATATGTCCTTTTGACATTAATCTTCTTTCTGTCATTCTAAGAATCTCTTCAATTGGAGTATCAACTTCTGGAATTAATACTAAATTTACATCTCCTGATGCAACAGATGCATATAATGCAATAAATCCTGCATCTCTACCCATTAATTTAACTATTCCAATTCCATTCTTTGCTGATTTAGCTTCATAATGAACTGAATTAATTGCTTCTTGTGCTAATTCTACAGCAGTATCAAATCCAAAAGTAGAATCTGTATAACAAATATCATTATCAATAGTTTTAGGAATACCAACAACTACAATAGGACTACCTCTTCTTCTTAATTCTTTATTAATTCTATTAGCACCCCTTAATGTACCATCTCCTCCTAATGTGAAAAGAATATTAAAATTATTGTCAATAAGAAATTGTGCCATAACTTTAGGGTCTTGAGCTCCTCTTGAAGTACCTAAAATAGTTCCACCTCTTTGATGAATATCATCGACAACAGATGTGTCAAGTTTCATTTGTTCAGATAATTCAGGAACAAGTCCTTCATAACCATATTTTAAACCATAAATTTGTTTAACCCCATATCTATTTTGAAGGTTCATAACTAAGCCTCTAATAACATTATTTAATCCTGGACACAATCCTCCACATGTTACTATTCCAACTTTGGTTCTTTCTGGAATAAAGAATATTTTTTCCATTGGTCCTGCTAACTCAGCCTCACACTCATTAACAGGTATTCCATCAATTTTAATAGCAGACATAGACATTGTCATTCCATCTACAAAAGGTTCAGGTGATGCATATGTATTTTTATATTTACATTCTCCTAATGATGAAACTTCTAATGATGGAAGTGGTTCTTCAGGTTTTTTAGCAATAAGTAAATCATTTCTTTGATGAACGTGTCTTCTTTCTGACATAATATTTTATAGAACTAACCTTTCAGTTCAAAATCGTTTAAAAGAAATAAAGAAACCCCTTTTTGATAATTGAAATCCATTAAATTCCTTACAATTTCTTTTTAATTCTTATCATTTACCCTAAAAATTTATTTTTCATTTTCTGAAGGATTTTGATGGTTTTTTCAATCAATCTTCAATTTTCGTATAAAGTTTTGTGACAAAATTAGTTTCTTTTTTCAAAAATAAAAAATAATACGACAGTTAGATTATCTGAAAGCAGTCTGTTGATAGAAAAGAATGAACTTGAAAGTATCAAATAAAAAACAAAGAAATCCAGCAAAGTGAAATTACATCAAAGAGTAAATGAAGAAATATAAAGACTAATCAAAGAGGAATTAAAATAGAAAATTTTGGATTATTTTAGAAGCATTTTTTCCCTCATTTAAAGGAAAATAAAACTATAAATTTTATTTAAAAAGAAGTTCATGGAAGTAGAACTAAAACTCATTTGTGGAAGAGATTTAAAAGTATGTGACATATGTACTTCTGATCCATACGTAAAATTTACTATTGGTGGAAAAAAATTTAAGAGTAAAACAAAAGTACTTACTGTAGAACCAGACTGGGATGAAACATTTAAAGTAAAGTTAATTGCTGGTAGTACAATAGAATTTCTAGTTTATGATCGAGATTTGATTGGAAGAGATGATTTTATGGGAAAAGTATCATGGACAGTTCCTCAATTAATTTTAGGCCAAACAGATTTTTATGTGCTTCATTTAGACACAAAAGGAACAATTACTTTTAGTACAAAATGTATTTCAGGAGGAATTCCACCACAACTTGAACCTCATTGTGACATCAACAAACCAGTAATTCTTAGACTTGATGTTAAGTATGTTCTTGGACTTGTTCTTGGGTATGGATTAAATCATGGAATGTTTTTATCTCCATTACCAAAGACATTAACTGGTGAATGGGAAACAAGTTTTGGAAAATTTAGAGGTGGTATTACCAAAATTTCTTCTATTAATTATGGACCAGAACGACTTATGGGAGGAGGAAGAACTTTTTATGTTTTAGCTCATGTAGGAGAAGTAATTTCTTTTTCTGCTTTTCTTAATTCAACCTCATCTCAGAAAGGAGGAGATCAACTGGTGAAAGGATTTTATCTCGTACCAGATTTTCATCAAGATGAAAAGACTGAGTTTGGATTTACTTTGGAACCAGGAGGATCATGTTTTGTTAGTTGTAAATGTATTCAAAGCATATACAAAAATGTTCAACCTACTAAGATTCCTTCTGAAAAAGATTATGCCTCAAATATTGCTTTTCCATGTGAAGTTATTGTTAGACGTCTAGAAGGTATATCTTTCGCTGGATTGTTTAATGTTTTACCTTATGTTAGATTAGAGTCAAACCAAGTAGAGTATGTAACTTCTGTATTACTTAGAGAAAGAACCAGACATCACACATATATGCCTAAAGAATGGAACCACTCTTTCTTCATTCCTGCTTTTGTTGGACAAAAATGTATTATCAGACTTATGAACAAAAAGGCGTTTAGTATATCAACAGAAAAAGATCCTGAATTAGTAAAGGCAGAATTTGTATGGCCTGACTTTAAAGGACAGGAATCAATAGATATTACTATTCCTTTAAATGATAGATTTGGAGATCTAAAAATAACATTGAAGAGAATAAGAGAACTCAGCGCTTATTATAGAAGAGTATATCTTGGTGAAGGTTACCCACCAGTAATATGCCAAGCACCACAACAATATTAATTTACATCTCTTTTTCATTAATACTCTTCACATAAATATAGATTATAATTCTTATTTATATCAAATGAAAAGAAATTAAAAAAATAAAAAATAAAAAACTTCAATAAATTAGTTCAAATAAAGGAAATGTCATACGATAGAGCTATTACTGTATTTTCACCAAATGGTCATTTATTCCAAGTAGAATACGCACTCGAAGCTGTGAGTAAAGGACTAGTTTCAGTTGGTGTTAAAGGAAAAGATTGTATTATTTTTGGTGTTGAAAAGAAATCAATTGCCAAATTACAAGACCCAAGAACAGTAAGAAAAATTCAACAAATTGATCAACACATTTATACTACATTTGCTGGATTAACTGCAGACGCTCGAGTATTAATTAATAAAGCAAGACTTGAAGCACAAAATTATCGTATGTCAATGGAAGATGCTCCAACTGTTGAATATGTTACAAAAGCAGTTGCCAACTATCAACAAAAATATACTCAACAAGGTGGAAGTCGTCCATTTGGTATTTCTACTCTTATCGGAGGATTTGATCCTGATGGAACTCCAAGACTATATCAAACTGACCCAGCTGGAACATGGACAGAATGGAAAGCTCATGTTGTTGGAAGAAATTCAAAAACTGTTGATGAATATTTAGTAAAAGGGTATGAAGATAATATGGAAATAGACAAAGCAGTTGTGGTTGTTGTTCGAGCTCTTTTAGAAGTTGTTGAAAGTAAAAATAATATTGATGTTGCTGTTTTTACAAGTGATTATAAATTAACAATGTTAAATGATACTAAATTAGCAGAAATTGTTCAACAAATAGAAAGAGATAAACAAGCTGAAGCAGAAGAAAAGAAGCCAATTCTTCAATAAATTTTATTTTTTTTTCTTTCTCAATCAAATCACTTTTCTTTTTTATTATTGTCCTTTCATAAACTATCCTAAAAAGATTAAAAATAATAAAGATTTACAAAAAATTAATGAATTTCTTGAAGAGCAACAACACGTAATTCTTTATCTAATTCTCCATAAAACATAGCCTCTTTTGAGGTTTGAATAATTGTAGCAAAAGGAGTGAATTTCGTTGCTACTGAAATAGAAACTGAGCCTTTAACACAAATCGCAATTTGACAAGATGGATATATTGACTGAACAGTTTGTAATAAAGGAATAAAACAATCATCCAACCCAAAACAAATAATAATAAAATGGTTAAGAGAACCAATAGTTTTTTGTGAAAGAATAGAAATAAGTGAATTTACATGAAAGTGTAAAGAGGCCAAAGAATTACCATCATTTAAAAACATAACTTTTAATTTTTTTAACAACGGCATGTAAGCAGTACCTTCAAACCTTCCATTAAAAATAAATTCTAGTGAAGTAATTTTAGGTTGTATTTCTTTAAATAAATCATTATTACCACAACCTTCATGAAATATATCAAATAATGGATAACTTTTAATTTGTTCTAATGGAAATGAAGAAATCATACTAAATGACCCTCTTAATGTATCAATATGATCAAAGAATTAAGC